AATTTTCTTCTGTACTTACCCAATTAAATGAAAAGTCAAAATTTTCCCTTTAGTCTGCTTTTCCTGTCACACAGCCTGCTACACACAGAAAATGCTCAAAGGATCATCACTCATTATAAAATATATTTGTTTTCCTATTTTCTCCTCTTTCTCTCTCTTTCTCTTACTCCCCTCCCTTCCTCTTTTCCTTTCTTCCTCCCTTCCTTCTTCCCTTATCTCTTTTTGGTTTTGAGGCAGAGACCAAGTAGACCCAGTTATAAAGTAACTGGTTATTATTAAATAATATGATCCCATTCCAGGGCAAACAAATCACATTATCCCCACCGCTCCCCAACTACTCTAAGAGAAGTAAAAACTACTCCACAATATTTGAGAATATACTATCAGCAAATGCAATGACTTTTGTATCCCACACTGACTTTCATATAATTACATAAATGATACTATTTTATATCATTAAATACAAGTGTGAACACAGGCACTATGTTTTCCCCAAAACAATATTTTCAGAAGGTAGCACTGTGCTTTTGCATGCTCTAGTATAAACTACAGAACTATAAACATGGGCGAAATAGTAAATAATAATAGTAATAAATGCCACACCTCCACAAGTAATGATTAACTCCTAAACTTACAAAAAAGAATATAAGCATAGTTTAGTGTTATGCTACATTTCACTCCACACATGCTCCTAAACATATAAGAATTACCTATTTTCTGAAGGAAGTCAAGGAACTCGGTTAAGACTGCCACCTATCACAAACTTGTTTGAAAAGTCAGTGCTACCCGATCCTAGCTCTTCTAAGATTCCAAGAAAGTTTATCAACAGGGAAATAAAATCTCATTATTATTATTATTATTATTATTACATGATATGGTTTCAATCAACTACTCATATGACTTATGAGTTCATTCTATGATGATTTGCACAGTGACTAATTTGAAATAGAAAGACATGGGTTTGAGTTGATCACTATCTTTAGTGAATTCCATGTAGCTGTTCTAACTAGGTAATCACCTGAGTTATTTAACCAAAACTACAGAAAATTTTATCGCAATTCCATCAAAATAATGAATCCTATTGTAGTTTCAGTATATGAAACATGTATATATCTCAGGGCATGTTTCTGTATATTGATAGTTTATACTTTAATGCTTGTGTAAAATAACATTTTGAAAATGGGAGTTTAACTGCATTATGTTAGCATTTAAAACTATTTTAAATGGATGTCTTAAGCTGGAAAAACACCAATCCAATGCCAAGAATCTATCATTACAGAGAATAAAATAAAGATACATAGTTCTCATCAAGCTTTTTTCCTTCCTGAAAGTAAAGAGTAATGCCATTGTGGGAACTTTACACGCACTAGAAAGCAGTTACATCTGTCTTTAGAAATCATATATACTATAGATACATTAGAATGCTAATCTATATCAATCTTATATTCTGTGCTCCTAGTATTTTATTTGATTGGGACAACATGTATCACAATGCAATATGGACCAAAGCCCTAGAAAATCTTAATGTGGTCTTTCCGAAGAGATTTAAAAGCTGATAAAACCAAAGCTGACCAGGTACAAATAAGAAACAAATGCAAATATCACAGTGGGGCGATAACATCCACCATCTCTCCACATTTCCATTAAGGAATTACCTCCACATGCACTATCTTTCATTGTCAGGATTATACCTACTATCTTATGAGATAAAGTTATAACACATGCACAAGAGGTCCATCCATAATTCTAAGAAATCTCTGAAAAACTGAACTAGAATGTTAATACAAACAAAAAAGGAAATAACCTAGATGGATTACAATTACTATTAATGACTCAAAAGGCCATAAAATCCTTTGATGGGCAAGAAAATATGCCTTGAGGCATACTGCATTTTGGGAAAACAGGTTATTTTAGTTGAATATATGTTAATGAATTGCTTCCTCATGTTTTATATAATTCTTAGAAAAAGTTCAAATTAGGTCCCCAATAGGATGTTTTAATTATGAGAAGCAATCTTTTGAAACTCATACAAGCCATCACACTTGTTTGGAAACAAATGACTTTTCAAGATGGAGAAGTATTCCTATCAATCACCAACAAGTTAATTCTACATAATAAGGCAGGTTTGGATGCACACTGATCCATTGTGGAATGCTGCATCTAAAATTGATTACAACAGCACTCAAAATGAATGCAGTCCTCCAAACCACTTCTTTGCTCAGAGACATTCATCTCAATTAGAAAGAGAGCTTCATAATGGTAATGCTTGGGGAAAAAAATTTTAAATAAATCAGGTTTTATAAGACACAACAATGAATCAGTTTTCAGACTAAGAAGGTTTTTTGGTTTTGTTTTTTTTTTTTAAGCACAAAATTTCCATCAGGTCTGTTAAAACAGCTGATATTTCCAAAAACAAGTTGCAAATGTATTCTAAAATAAGCTTACATAAAATAATTTTTACATACAACTTAGTTGTTGAAACTTTTAAATAACGTATTATTGTGGTACCTTTTCAATAGACTTTACTCCGAATGCATGTATTCAATTTTTCCACGGGCTATCATTCCACTTTATAAGGCAATTATGAACACAACACTAACTTCAACTGGAAATTCAAAGGAATATGTAATTGGTTATGGACCACAGTAAACGTTCGGTGGCAAACTATTATATTCTTTGCTCATATTCTCACCCTAAGTAAAGAAAGTATGTCCTCAAAATCAAAATGGACAGTTGACTATCAAACGAAACACGGGGTAGATGAGCAATGTGTAATTCCACATGCTTAACAGGTTTCTACAGCACAGCTTCAAGAAAAGGGCAGACAGCTCATCACAGCTGCTGAATACACTGATTCGAATAAATATAAAACTTGGATGATATTCAGCCACCATCCAGAAATCAAATTTTTATAGGGTAAAATAAAGTTTAATAAAAAGGAGGCACATGCATTTATTTAAATACTCAATATTAATAAACTAATAAACTTGGCTTTGTTGGGTTTTTATATCAGACTATGACCATGCTCTGAACTTATTCCCTAGTATTCCTATAGGTAGGATAAACTTCAGCATTTCCAAACATACATTTGCAGCTATTGCAAAAACATCATTTTTTGTACACCCAGCCTAACGGTGATTCAGTATTTCTGACAGGTCACTCTACTCACAATGATGGCCACGCACTCCTTCCTGCTTTCTTATTTGCTTGACTCTTTACAAAGAGAATAATTACTCTTGGCTCCCAGAAGCAAAGCTAAGAAAGAGTAGCTTGAACTTCCTAACTGGATCATTATTGTTTAGCTAGGTTTCCTTTCTGAAGAAGTTTAAAAGTTTTCACTCTCTTTAGGAGCTTTCTTCTATTCAAAGATAAGCATCCTTATCTTTCTTTGTCTTCACCCTAATAAGGCAGGTTCTCTTTTCCAACCAAAAGACTGATGACACGCCTACAGAATCATAGTAAGAAAAACCTCAATAATTTACCTAAAACATCTTTCTAGAAAATAAACACAGCCATGCAAAATAATCCCATTTGGAGGAATAACTAGTCACAACTCTATAAATCTATCTGCTTTATTTCCAATACTCAAGTAATCCTCATTAGAGTGCATAGGTTGCTAACTTAAAGCTATTGGCACAGGGGGTTCATAGAGTTTTCCAAACATATATAAACATTAGCATGGTGATTAGTTTAACTACATTTTTCATAAAAACTGTACAGTACATGTAAAAATGTGTATTTGATTTGAACTACTTTTTCTAACTATATATTCTTTTCTAAGTTATTTACCATAAGACATATTTGTTTACTATTAGAAAAAATCTTTAAGAGGAATAAAAAAATCATGTAAGAAAAAAAGAGCGAGATTATTAAGGGAAATGCAACAGGAAAAGATAACAAAATCCGGAAATACACAATAGAATAACTAAACTCATTATAAACGCCTATCTTTGAAGAATTTAGGAATAATTTGTGAATACCATGACATTTTAAAGTGGGATTAGCAAGTCTTATTACTGAACTAATCTCTCACTCTTAGATCAAGAATTAAATATTTGTTCTGCATTTAGAATTAAAAATCGAAACTTTCAGGGCTCATACAAGAATTTTATATATTAAGATATACATGCTCGAAGTTCTAGATAATTAAAAGTGTATTAAGGAATGCACAAAGCAAGACTGTTGAATTTATAAAATCTTGTTTTAATTGAAATATTAAAATAGATAATGAATTATTATCACACAGTTGCTCTTAATTCTAAAGTCAGTCTGTTCTCAATATATTAATACCTTAAAGACTACAAATACTTCTCCAAGTAGGCAACGGGGAAAAAGGGATATGCATCATTATTTTAAACAAATTCACTAAGGGAGTCAAATCACCAAGTTCTGTTCAGTTGCAATATCATCTTTTGGGATACTCTTCCAAGCTTTCCAGAGATGCCATATCCACCTTTTTTCTTTTGACAAGAGAAGGGAAAGGTAATGCCTCAACATATTTCTATTTCCAGTGAAAAGACCACCCAGTGAATTCTGCCAGAGTCTACCAATGTTTGACAAAATACATTGTCAGAAGATAAGAAATAGAGCATGATGAAGAGACAGTCCTGTTCTCGGGCATCCCAGCCGTTTGGGACCCTGTAAAATGTCTAGGACAGCTCTCAGCCTTTCATTTCCATTGCACCTCCTCACACATACCTGGAAACTTTTCTCTACCTCCAAATTACAATGACTTCGGAAAACACACGTATGTAATGTATTACACGGTACAAGTACTTGTTATCCTCCCTCCACAATAAAAATTAACAAGTTACCACCTTAAAGGTGAGGCAGTAAGAATGAAATCCAAGCTGCATAGTAAGATGCTCAGCAAAGATCAATCAGACACAACCCGCCTCAACCTAAAATATGTGAAGCTCTTTGTAATCGGTTGTAAAACACAAGAGGGACTTAGAATCTCAGTTGCAGGCTCATAAATTCGTAATTTTTGAAACGCCCAGCTCAGGATATTTTGTGTGTTTCCAGCCCCATCCAGAGTTTCCCGATCAAGTTTCAGCCGTGATCCACCACTCCCCACGTTACCCCTCGCCCCTCACTCTCCCTCCTTCACTCCTTTCCAACTTGGCTCCCTGGTCGCTGCAGAAGCCTTCTCTCCCCTGCCTGCCCCGGAAAGCGGTGACATCCCGGGGCTTTCCGCTCGCTGGAAGCCCCACAGGATCCTGTCAAGACGCCCCCGCAGAGGACGCGGGGCCCCGCCACACAGTGGGGGCCGAAGAGGACCAGGTGGGCTCCCCTCCCCGCCCCCACCGGGCGCCCAGCCTCCGGGCTGCCCTCCTCGGGGGCCCCGGGGCTCCCCAGAACCGGGGCACGGCGCCTGGCTCCTCGGGCGAGAGGCGCCGGCGAAGTTCCCACCTGAGCCGGCAGCCGGAGGTGGCGGGCGCGAGGGCGGGGCGGGGACTGGGAGGCCGGACGGCGGAGAGAGCCCGCGCGCCGGGGAGATGCCCCCGCGCCCGCCGCCTCCCGGGGCCAGTCGCAGCCACGCGCCGTCCCGGTTCGCGCTCGCCCGCTCCCGGCGCCACGGCCCGGCACTAGGACCCCAGAAAGGAAGGAGGGCGCGCCGGCGGCGGCGCCGCCGCACTTACCGCGCTCGGCTCGCCCGCGCCGCCGGCTCGCTCCCCGGCAGCAGCCGCCGCGTCCGCCCGAGCCGCGCGCACACCGCGCCGGGCCAAATTCAAAGGAGCCGGGCGCGGGGGAGGGGGGCCCCGCCGAGGGAGCGGGGAGCGGGCGCCGGCGGGGCGGGGGCGGGGAGGGGGCGCGAGTGTTACAACTTCCTTCCCTGCCCGCCCCCGGCCGCGCGGCCCCGGGACGCGGGAGGGGAGGGCGCTGGCGCGCCAATGAGTTCACTTTCTTTCTCTCCCCCGCGCTCCCCCTCTCCCCGCCCGCCGGCCCTTCCAGCCTCCTCCAAGGCGGCGGACCAGGCCGGGCCGGAGTTTTCGGGGCTCGGCCCGCGAACGGGAGGACCGGGGAGGCGAGGGAGGAGGAAGGCGAGAAGGGCCAGGTGAAGAGGCCCCCGGGACGCCCGGCCGGGGAGCGGCATCCAGGACCGTAATTGTGCGGAGGGGGACGCGCCGGGCCGAGTGTGCCCGAGCCCGGGCGCGTACACGTGTCCGTGTGTGTGTGTGTGTGTGTGTGTGTGTGTGTGTGTGTGTGCGGGAGTGTGCGAGGGAGAGGAGGAAAGGAGAGGAGCCTACCATGCGCTTCCCCCGGTGCAGATCGCGGGAGAGCCCAATCACGGGGCGAGCTGGACCTGGCTGTGATCATTTATAATCCTTGACTCCTCTGCTCCGCCACTTGTCAAGATGACAGGTACTTTATTTCTTCTTCTTTATTCAAAAAAAGAGATTCCCCGTTTACTGCCTTTTTCTGTCAAATGGCATTTGCCGGACTGAACCACGTTCGCCGCCCCTCCCTCCTTCCCTCCTCCCGGCCGCGTCGGGTTCGGGAAAGCACCGAGGCTCCCATGCTGTGACCAATCAGTGCCTCTACTACTCTCGCCGTGATTTAGGGGTCATCCGTGAATAACACTTCACGCTGATGAATGGCTCTTGCCGGCTTTCGGCTCTGATGAGGGGTCTGCCCGCCGCTGATTGCAAACACTAATGAACTTACTGCGCCATTTGAAATGCACACGCACCAACAAAGTGCGGGGGTACGTGCGTGGGGGTCTGTCCTTTTCTGCTACGGGTGGCGGCGAGGCGGCCCTGGCGGAGGGGGCGGGTAATTGCTTTGGACTTAAGTGGAAACACTTCTCTGTGTAATCAAACCTCTAACCTTCTTAGAAAACTACTTTTCTTGATCTTCTGTAGGGTGGGCATTTCAGGTCAGCTGAGTCACCCGAGGAGGTGGGAGTGCAAGACACTGCCAGGAAGACGGATTCCGAGGCAGAAGGGTGTAATTAAGGATTTCCACCCCTGGTAGGCGGCCCGTCCTTTGCAGAGCCTCTGAAAATGACCCGCGCCTTCCTTTCCACAGTGTCCTTTCGTCCGAGACCGAAAAGCGCAAATGACCTTTGGACAGGGAAGGGAGGCAGTAAACACTCAGACTTCCTTACCAGCCCGGTTCGGCACTGTAGCAGAACGATTGTCTGTCCCCCGGCTTCAAGCACCCAGGCCTCCGCCCATCATCACCTTGCCAGGGGTAGACCAGGGAGTCTTCCGAAGGCTCCACTCCCCGCTTTTACTACTCTTCCTTCCTCTCCATTCTCCCCTCAGATTAGCAGCTGAACACTGTCCCTGCCTCGATTTTGTTTGCTGTGGGAGGGAAAAAAAAGTTTGCTGCTCCTCCCAAGACACTGCCACTTTCTACCCACCGCAGCGCTGGCTCCTGGCTCCCTGCTCCCCAGCCCCCGCCCCCCATCTGCAGGAAAGTCCTCCCCCGGAGCTTCCGAAACTGCTGAAAGTTCCAGAGTTTTGTAGCTCCGAATGGGCGGCTCTGTAGCTCCGAATGGGCGACCTGAGCAGAACGGCGCTCTGGCTCTGTGGTCCGTGGGATCCTTCAGGCTCCTTTTGGGTCCGGGACGGGGTTGGTGGCAGAGGTGGGGCATGCGCGCTTGGGACTACCGAGTGCGTGCGGCTCCTCCGTGGGCGCCCGAGCATCTCCCCGCCTTCCCCTGGGACCCGCAGTCCGCGGGTGGAGGGCTGAGACCCGGCGACCAGGCCTGCCCCGGCCGCCGCTGACCTGTCCTTGGAAGCGTGGCGGAGACTGGTGCGCTCCCAGCCTCCTCGCGCCACCGTCCACTTTCAGCTTCAGAGCGGAGGATTCCGCCGACCTGTACCTGCACTCGGAAGCCCACTTGCATTTTTAACTGCCATGCGGAACCAGAACCAGATCCAGCACTGGGAGAACACGGACGACGCCTCCTAGGAAAGCCTGAACCTTTATGATAGTTTCTCCAAAGTTTGGGCTACAAGGGAAGAGAATCCCTAAACTCAAACTAGTGTACCCAGACCCACAGCCCGTGTTCCCGAAGTTGCTAAGTGCCCGAGCGCAGCGCGTTAAGTAGAGAAGTCTTGGTAGTAAGCGAACCCGACCCGGCTCTCGGGGCGCTACTGATGGAAAGCAACACACGCACATCTTTGCGGGAAGAATCTAGAGTCACCCTGGGATAGATCCATCTCCTTCTGCCACTGAATTTCACAGTTGAAAAAGATTAGGGCATGGGGGCGAATTAATGATATCCCCCACTCATTCTAACCATTCTCATTATTAGGAACAAAAAAAAAAAAAAAAAAAAAGGCTTGTCAATTATGAAGCTATGTCCCCGATATTACATGAAGACCATGCAAACTACTTGAAATTTGAATCCGGACATGATCGTAAGGAAACTCTTTCATAAAGCACTTTTGTGGCCCAGTTCCTGCACACACACAAAAGTGTTAGGTCTTTAAAACTTTTATAAGTATGTAAGTGAGACTCCCTCCTACTATCTAGGAACACACAATAGAGATGAGACACTGACCCAATCCTAAAGAGGCCAGAACTGAAGTGCTACATTGTGGGAGTTGGGGGATGCTTCTTTTTTCCAGCTCTTTTTTCCTAGAATCCTCATTACAGCTAACGCTGGTAATAAAGGTAGGAAACAATAGAACTCATAAAACTTAGAAATGGCAATAAATCTTGGCTCCTGTCTCTAGCCCAGTTCCTTCTTACATGAGATTCAAAGTTTTTCAGTATGCAATGCTGAACATTTACACTATGCTTGCAATACAGAAAAAAAATGCTCTAGAACTCATTAATACGGCCCTGCGCACTCTATGCCAGGCGTCGCTGGTGGACAAAGCGCGCAGGGGTCCTCCTCTACATCTGCCTGCGCCTGTAATCCAGGCAGCTTACGTGTGTTAAATTTGGGTCTCTCTCTCTCTGTCTCTCATACAAAGAAGTTCCATCATTTGAGGCCGTTAGGAAAAGCTGATGTTGTGCAGTGCCAAACTACCACAGGCTTCCTCCTTCAAATGAATCCCTGGAAAGCAGAGAGGCAGCTCGCTACGTGACCATCATGCTTTTTGCCTCACTGAGCTGTTGTCAAGAGAGGGCGGGGATGGCGGGCAGCTCACGCCGTGCCCTCCACAGCAATAAAAACCGGAGCCAGAGAAGAAATCCAAGACAGCGCTGTCTGTTTTGCAAGCCTCTGGCCCCTCTCAGCAAACTCTGCCCGGCGCAGCTGGTGACTTTGCGGTGTGAACGCAGCCGGTAGTGCTCGGGATAATGGGACGGAGCTGGCGGCGTCGCCCTCCCGTGGGCCCCTCTTGTCACACAGATGCGCAGCTCTCCACAAGGAAAATGTGGCCCAGCTCCCCTCGCCTAGCCCTACTCTTAGGAACGCATGCCTGGGGCCTTTGCAAGCCTCTAAAAAGTCCTTAGGGGGAAAATAATGGGCGGAACCTCCGGATTCATTTTGGGGAAGAGGAACCAGGCTCTTGCCCCACTACTGAGGCAAGGCCAACAGCACCCTGCCCTGCTGCTCCACCGCCTCCCCGTGGGCCAAGTCTCTGCCAAGTGTCGCTGCCCACCTGAAGGTGACACCTGTCCATTTTAGTCAGCATCACATGCGCCTTCCCTTTCTCCCCTTTGGGGGCTGTCCGTTTTCTCCTCCTGTCCTAAAGAGCCAGCTTGGACCTGAAGGGGCCGGGTAGCAGCTGTTTGTGCCTCTCTCCCGTGCAGACTCGATGGTCTCCGCAGCCACTTCCTCCTTTGACACGCGAGGCTTTCAGGCGTGCAGAAGGGGACCGCCCCGCCGGGTGAGGCAGGTATTCGGCTCTCCAAGGAGACTTGTGGACATCACTGAGTTTACCTATTCTTTGGACTTTGTTCCATCTGCTCTAGCAAACCTGAGGCCTGAGCGGCCTGCCTGCTGGGTTCAAACCCAGTGGCTCACCGGCTGCAAACTCTCCCACTCGGGAGACCCTAGGAACGATGAGGAGCGGGGTAGAAATGACTAGGGGAGCCAAATCTCAGGTACCTAGACCTTCCAGCTCACCCCTCAGGACCAGGAAAGCCAGTCACCCACATATGCCCAAAAGAAGGTTATGTCTCAACTGAGAACAGCAAATAGGTGATGGGCCACTTTAGAACACACGCTAAAGGCTGGTAGCCACTGAGCGAACCCCAAATTCTAGGCACCTGAGGTGTTTGCCTTACACAAATGGCTTCACAGGTAGCAAGCTATTAATCTACAACAGTGAACAACACTAAAACTTAAATTTTACATGGAAGTCTCTCAAGTAGACAAAGATATTATTGGGTGGGGGTTTCCCCCCACTGACAAAAAATAACTTATCCCTTGGCTGTTAGATTGAGGGAACTATAAAACAAATATTTTAATTCGATCACTGACAAAGTCATAAAATTAAATGACTGTTTGTAGAGGAAAATATGTTTTCATTATCTTAATTAAAGCAAGATAAGCCTCTCTCAATGTGCATGCATTTTGGAGCCACTGAATGGACTGGTGATGAGACGAAGCAACCTTTAATTGGGACCATGCTTCTCCAGTACATTTGCTTGTATTCCATGGCGTAAACCTGGCCTATGCGTGGCTCCAACCTTCAGTGAAAAAGCATTTGCGTAGCACCACCCAAGGGCTCCCTTGCTTTGGCTGGAGCCTCATAAAAGACCCCAGGTTTTGCAAAGCATTTTGAACACCAGCATCTTTTAACATGTGGAACTTTTGGGTTTGGTTTAGCTCTGTGAATGTGTTTAAAACTTGCTACATTATTCCACGCTGAAAGTTGGAACCTTTATAATTAAGAGTTATCATGGAGTGCCTTTTAAAATCTGTCATATTTTCTATAAACAACTTTTCAGTGAGAAACGTATATAGTGTACTCAAGGTAGGCATTAGCTGCTGGCAAGGTTTATGATAAAATAGTGACATTACAGGACAATTTTTTAGTAAAACAACACCCTTTAGATATTTTAGGTTCCAGCTTATATGTTAACTTGTAAATATAGGCTAAAAATATAGGCATCAAGTGACTATAATTCAGTATCAGACAAATTGAACATCTTTTTATTTCCCAGAAGTGCCCACTCTTTCTCCTCCCTTTGGTGACCTCTTAGTCTGGAATGCCCTGCATCTGGAGCCCCCAGAACTCACAGCTTTTAAAGCACCTATTAGTGATACTTTCCTTCCTTGGCAGTGCTTCCACTGTGTTTTCTGCATGTAATAAAGGATGGCACTGTTTTTTGTATAGGTCTTTCCTAATAGCTGAGCACTCTGGGAGTGTAGGGGCTCAACCTTATGCCTCTTTGGACACACAAGCCTAGCCCATGGGCTGGCATATAGGAGCTGCTCAATAAATGTTTGTTGAATGAATGAGTGGATACATGAAGAAAATATTTTCATTGTCTTTAGCCCTTCTGACTTTCTTTTTTAAATAGGGGTATGTCATAAATAAAATTTACCTCGAAAATGTATTTAAGTACACTTTTTTCTTCTCTACTATCAAGTTTTTAATGGGACATCATTTTAAAATTCTGGTCATTACAACGAACCACTTTTGACCTTGGTTGACTTTCCTCAGAAACATAATTTAAAGTAAAGACAAAAACAATGAGAAAAGGCAAAGAGATCAAATTTTGGTTTTCTCTTTTTCAGTAGGATATGATATTTATCGAAATTTGGAAACAAATTGTAGCAAGCACCTATAACGTGTAGATACTCACGTTTTTATATTAAATATGACATTATTTATAAAACCCTATTGTCTTCCACCTTCCCTTTGGATTTTTAGTGGTAAGAAGTGTAGAGCATAAGATGACTGCTTTTCATTTCTTCAAGACAAGGGTTCAGCTGGTATTGGGGAAACAATCTCTGTTTGTTCCTGTCTGCTCAGGAGGACTGTTGCTAATTGATCTGGCATGGAATTTAGTTGGAGATGTATATGTTGCAACTGAAGCGCAGAGCCTGTGTGCTTTGTAAAGTGATAACCATATGGGCCTTATTGGAAACATTTGAGGATTTTCGACATTAACCTGGGTTAAATTGAGCTATAAATTCAACTCAAATGTATATGTCCTGACAAATTCATCATCACTTTGGATAGATTCAATCCATGCTCCCCTCAGATTAATAAAGATGATGACCGCTTATCACAAATGCAACGATTCGTCGTGATAAAGTACCATAATGTTGTACTTTGCACTGTTTAAATGCAAATTGCCCATATTAAGCAGACATTTTCTACTGTTATCACTTTCAGTAGAATGGAAATGTTTAAAAATGATCTCTGGGTAAAGAAGAGGATATATAGTCAAATCTATTTCCTCTTACACCATTTTCAAGTGCACTTCGCTATCATCATGAAGATTTAATTAAGCAAGATCAGCTAAGCTAAAAAAGCAAAAAGGCTGAAAGTTACTACTTATAGAAACATATTCAGGACTTATACAAAATAATTTATTTACTATTCTTCATTTAGGGATTGGAGCAACCACTGAAGGTTAAAAATACAACAGAATTCTATGGCTCCTTTCCCCTATTTCTGAATATCAAATTTAGAGCTTACACTTTGTTACAGATAATAGTACTAAGTTATGGATGTTGATGGTTCTTCTCTTGCAGCTTTAAATTGCCTTGAAAAAGATACAGTTTCTTTAATTAAAAAAGCTGCACAGAACTAATCCCTCTAGCTGAAAAAAGAAAAGTTTTAAGCAATCTCTTTCTGCTCCGAGAGAGAAAGGCAGACAATACCATAACAGATCAGAAACATAAGCTATAGTGTGCAGCCAGGAGCACAGCAGGGAACTGAATACTGCTCCGACTGTGTCATTTTTTAATCCCCCATCCCAGTTTTCCCCGTCTGACCTCATGCTGAGATGAAGTTATCACAGAAGACAGCTTTACTCTCACCAATGAATCCAACCCTGGATCTGTATTATCCTTAGCAGATCAAAACACCGCTTTCATCAAATAGCATTATCTGCATAAAAGGCATGCAATTGCCCGATAATTTCACCCAAACTATGCTATTCATTTAAAGGACAAGAAGAGAAATGTAATTCATTCCTTTTGGGGGGTGGTAGAGAAGAGTGAGACTTGGGGAGAGGCAGAGGCTGGAAAAGCTAACTTACCCCCTTCACTCATGGGAACTTTTCTGTTTTTAACACAAAATCCCAAGAAGGGGTCCATTTAAAAGTCCCCCTACTCCTGCGCTTTAAGATTAATTGTTGGAGCAATTTGGTGCAGTTTGAGTGACAAAAGTGTACGTTGTGTAGAAAACTGGCAGTGAGAAATTACAAAGCTTGCTGATATCATTAGCCATGCTTCCATGAACCCCAATAAAAACATCATATCCAGTAAAATTGGAGAAGCATAAGAATTAGCTGGACAACTGGATGAAGTTTAACACAACGTCATATTGGGTGGGGGGGATCCTGACTGGAGATCTTTCTGTGCATTATGAGAAGTTTGAATCCTTACAGTGGGAAGACAAAAGACATATTCCACAATTCTGAGTTGACACTTTGAAAAATATTGAAGAAATCTTAGGAGTCAAGACTAGCGCTTTTTTAAAATTTAGAAAATACTTTAGCCTCTTTCAGAATGCCTTTTTCATCTTATGTTGAAACACTGTTCTCATTTGCATTGTAGATTGTATAAGCTGTTATAATGGGCTTCTCTTTAATGGATCCTAACTCCTCATTGAATGCCATTCGTTGTTTTGCTCAAGGTATGGTGATAGGTTAGAGCAATCAGCTACAACCATTTGTGTCAAGTAAATGGAATTACTAAGAAGTACTAAAACTCCCACGTGAGTATGGGTGACCTATTAGGCATATGTTAATATCCTTATCATATGTTTTACTCACCATAATTTCAACGATTGTGCTTGAAAATGTAAATCTTCCACTCAGTGCTTTCAGAACTCACTATGTAAACTGACCCTGCAAGAAATTCAATTTAATCTCTACCCTTCCATCACCCAGACAACAGCTATCCACAGAAATGTATAGGGCAAAGAATCAGAACTGCTTGAAAAAGAACAACGTTAACATGCTTCAAATCAGAGGCAAGGAACACTCCTGAAAATTCATGGGTCAAGTGACGGGGCAAGAATTTTTCCCTTGAAAGAAAGAAACTGGTTCTAGAAGAAAGTAATTGTAGCCCTATTATTCACTATCATTGCCACTTTAATGACATGTAGGTATGCCCTAAAACATTTCTATGCAATTAATAAACAGGTGTTTTTTTTTTTCTTCCATACCAGCTTTCCAAAACTACAACTTGATACTGAAGTGCCCTGAGACTAAGAGTCTGTGTAGATATATGGTCTGCTCAGTACTAAAGCTCCAACCGATGTTTCCAAAATACAGCTTCACGACATACAAATTATCCGAAATTTAATGTGATTAAGCATTAAACTGTGGTATTTCCTTGAATTTAATGACAGTGCTATTTTCATGTCAAACTTGATTACAAGAACCAGCTTTCAGAGCAAACTGTTTAAAATCCCAAATCATTAACAGATCATTTAGGGTTCAGTCTCACAAAACTTCTTGTCTGTGAACTATCAACTAAAGATATGTAAGCAGAGAGGTGAGTTTCACATTTTGCTTACATATATGTTGGTGGAGAGAGACTGAATCTACAAGTCACATTTCTGTCTGTTAATGCCAGGAGAGGAAAGATGTTTACATCATCAATACCACTGCCACTCTTAACAACATACTTACAATGAAGTTCATGCTCATAGCCTATTCTCTCAAAGCCTGTCATGGACCATTATACCCATTTGAAATGGACATAGACAAACAACTTCCTTAAGACTTTAGAAATTTAAAATACAACATAAGATTTTGATATTTTATTTCTTCTTTACTTTCACTTCAAGTCTGTATTCAACTCATAGCTGATTTTTCTAAGAGACTAAACCTGGATCATCCATAAATCTTGATGTCAGAAGTACATTAGGCCACAGTTGCATTAATTACCTCAGTCTGGAAGCCTAAACAGTCATCTTCTTGTGTCATGGAATTCTTTGTTTGCTTAAAGATGACACCAGAAACACCACTACTCTTAGGGTAAAACGTCCCAAGTGAGGCAAAGAAAGATATTTCTAACAACATTCTAGGTAAAGCTATCCGCTATCCTCTTGCCTAAAACTATGGATCAGTTTTGGATTTGTTTTTTGTTTTTTGTTTTTTTTTTTTGAGACACAGTCTCGCCCTGTCACTAGGCTGGAGTGCAGTGGTGTGATCTCGGCTCACTGCAGCGTCCGCCTCCCGGGTTCAAGCGGTTCTCCTACCACAGCCTCCTGAGTAGCTGGGACTACAGGCGTGCATCACCATACTCAGCTAATTTTTGTATTTTTAGTAGAGAGGGGGTTTCACCATGTTGGCCAGGATGGTCTCAATCTCCTGACCTTGTGATCCACTCTCCTCGGCCTCCCAGAGTGCTGGGATTACAGGCGTGAGCCACCACGCCTGGCCAAACTTTGGTTCATTTTTGGTGCTTAAGACAGCAAAGCTTGGTTTGCTCTGTGGTGTGATGCATTTCTGAGAAAAGAGTGTTGTGGAATAAAGCCATGAAATATTAAAGGGGGAGTAGGCCGGGCGCGGTGGCTCAAGCCTGTAATCCCAGCACTTTGGGAGGCCGAGACGGGCGGATCACAAGGTCAGGAGATTGAGACCATCCTGGCTAACACGGTGAAACCCCGTCTCTACTAAAAATACAAAAAACTAGCCGGGCGAGGTGGCGGCGCCTGTAGTCCCAGCTACTCGGGAGGCTGAGGCAGGAGAATGGCGGGAACCCGGGAGGCGGAGCTTGCAGTGAGCTGAGATCCGGCCACTGCACTCCAGCCTGGGCGACAGAGCGAGACTCCGTCTCAAAAAAAAAAAAAAAAAAGAAATATTAAAGGAGTCATATTGAAATACAGCAAGCTCCTACGGGCCATATGATCTGATTTTTAGTTTACCTGATGAAGATGTAGCTCTGGCTTTGTTTGTTTTAGTGAAAAACATAAGAAGCCAGGCATTTCTAGAGCAGACTGGGAGAAAGAAGAAACTAGCCTGGGCAGAGAAGCATCCAAATTTCTTTCTGTGTTTACTTAACACTTCTTTCTTAGCCGTATACTCCAAGTCCAGCACTTTTAATCCACAAAATCTATGAAAGACCAGGATTCACCTTCCCCTCTTTTATCCTTGGATAAGATATCTAGGAGGAAAAAAAAGTAGGCCATGAGAAGATTATAAGCTAAGAGTCTATAAAGAGGGAGGAAATTGGCAGTGAGAGAATCTGAGTTAGGGGAAAGAGAAGGGAGAACAAGCTTAAACTGAAGATAAACTAAGACGATACTGGAAGGAAGAGAGGGTGCATGTGAGATTCCTAGCTTAGAGTCCTGGCTTAATGGAGCTCTGCATTTATCTTTAGTCTCTATTTACACTGATCAGTGAGTACTAGAATCTTGCCTCAAGAGTTTACAGTGTTACTTAGAAACTAGATTGAAATCAGGCCATGGTACAGGCAATATTTATTTTTAAACTTATTAGAAATCAACCTTTACTACATTTTGGAATAATGTTGATAATAAAGAGGTTCTTTATTGAAATTTGAAGATTATCTTGATGACAAATAGGCTGTAACTATCTATGGTAGCCCTGGACCAATAATTTTCTAATTGTTGCCTTTAGACCCCCTGTAATCAGAATCACCTGAGGGTTCTCGAGAAAATATACATTCCTGGGCCCTGTTTCAGCTG